CACACACACACACACACACACACACACACACACGTTTTAGGTGATCTTGCAGTTTTCCTGCTCCAGCCCGGCAGGAAACAGCCATTTCTGGAGGAGTCCTGGTTCGTTTTAATGGGAGGCGTATTAGAAACTGAGATATAGGTGTGAGGCTTATTGCCGCTGGGATGTAGCAGACAGAGCTAGGAAACACGCACGTGCAGATGTGACTCTCTCTGTCACAGATGCATGCCAACCACCATGTGTCCACACTGACACTTCCCATCTCAGTTCAGCCCCACAGAGCTCGCTCGGACCCCCGCCCCACTTTCCATGTTTCTGAGAAACCAGGCTCTGGTTTGGGGTTCGTGAAGGGTTGTGAGGACCTGGAGCTCAGGAGAGGTCCCTTCGTCTCTCAGCGGGAGAGGAGTGGAGGGGTGACTTCAGTGGGTCTTGGGTGCAGGGAGGGAGCAGGGGCGCTACCTTCATTGGTGTCTTCCTTGAAGGCCGGGCTCAGTTTAGGTACTTTACCTTGTACATTCTTAAATATCTGAGTGCCTGCTGTGTTCCAGGCACTGTTCGAGGTGCTGTGACAGAGGACAGGAGAGTGTCCCACTCTCCTCGAGGCTGCATTGTAGTGGGAGGGGGTAGAGATGGGCTAACCTAAATATTATGGGGTAGTAATCATTGAAACTGGACGACTGCGTGAGGTCAGGGAAGGTGTATCTGGGAGATGACCGCTGACTGAGCTCCCGATGGGAAGGGCTGACCGCGGGACGAGGGTGAGGGGCCGGGGAGTAGCTGGTGCCCAGGCCCCGAGGGACAGACGTGGCACCCTGTAGCGTCTGCGGTGTGGTGGGCCCAGAGGTGGAGGAACTAGAAGTCAGGAGCGGCCATGACTGCACACCTGTGCAGGCTGGGGAGCCCGAACTCAGGACAGACAGTTCCTGCACTCACGGTCCCGGTCAGGGAAGACACAGCTTTTAAATCCAAAGCCCCAGTTTCCCCACTCTGTCATGCTGCCTCCTGCTGGTAGTGAATGTAGGTTAACTGGAAAAGGTTTGGTTTTGAGAGGGATACTATTGCAGAAGTAAAGAGCGGCCTAGGGGAAAACTGTCAGGTCTTTCAAAGCAGGTACAAGGAGTAAATTATGAGTACTAGTATAGAATCTGGGAGTTGAGGGGAAATTTGAAATCTGGGAGTCCCTTTAGGACAAGACTAATGACTAAAATTAATAATAATAATAACATTTTCATTCATCAAATATTTATTTCGTGCTCGCCATGTATCAGGCACTAAGATGCTACGGTTTGTATTATGGGGAATAATTATGGTCCTTGCCCTCTGGTCATGTAGGAGGTACTCTTTTTTTTTTTTAATTAATCTTTATTGGAGTATAGTTGCTTTACAACGTTGTGTTAGTTTCTGCTCCACAGCAAAGTGAATCAGCTATAGAATACATATATCCCCTCTTTTCTGGATTTCTGTGAGGTACTCATTTTAATACATCCTTGTCAACCGTGGGTGTAAAAATTACTTGCCATTTTGATAGGCAAAGTCTCACTGTAACTTTCTCTGATTACCGGTACTATGATTTTTTAAAAAAATGTTAACTGACCATTTTTGGTTAATTTAGAGTTCCAGGTGTAGGGCTTACTTTTACTTGGAGTTTTTGAAACTCACAAATTCTGTCTTAGTAATTGCCTTAGACATAATTTTTAGATTTGGAAAATAAGGCAGTGTTCCCATGGTTGAGTGGTGATGTTTCTGAATCGCATTCCCCTTGTACCCCCTGACCGTTCACTGTTTTAAGGAAATCTGTGTCATTTGCTGGTGTATGGATGCAACTGGTAACTCAGCTAACTAGCTAACTCAGCTTGATAGAAAAGTGCCTTGGGCAAGACTGTTTCTGTGCCCTCTGCCTGTGCCCAAGCATTTCAGACGATTGTTAATTTCAAAGCTTAGCTCTAGTCAGGATTTATAATAACATGAGAAAGGTAGGTTCTTGCTTAAGTCCTGGTGCACAAGAAAAACTTGTCTCTTATCCTTTGCAATTCTGGGAGTGGAGTTTCAGTTTCTTGAAGTATTAATTTCTTACCTTCTTGTACTCTGGAGGTGAGGGGCAGGGTGAAACCTCTTATCTTTGATTTTGCCTGTTTATTTTCTAAATATGTGGTTTCAGGTCATTTGCTTTAAAAATGTGATACAACTCCAAACTGTTTTCTAAAAAATGATAGTCGCGTACTGTTGGCAAAATGAGAGACATTTTCGAAGTCTTCTTTTAAGCATATTTAGTTCTTGAAGACTTGTTCTTAAAAGTGACCTACTTTACAATACTCAGTATGCAGTTTTGCATTCTTTTGGGGTGGAATAATCTGTTTTTGTCATATTCTTGAAACATTCTTTGACTTGCTGTGGATCCCTTCCCTTTTCCTTGCGTTGAGGTCATTTTGAAACTTACATTTTCATCACTTAGATTTGTGGGTTCGTCATAATAAAATGAAAATAGCCCCTAAGCTGTATGTTTTCCACCTTCCAGCCTGTTGATCCTGGCAAACCATTGTTATTTTTGAATCTGTTTAGCTACAAGGTTTAGAGCTAAGACTCTGCACTTATCAGCTATGTGTCCTTGGGCAAGGTATCCTTTCTTGAGTTCCTTATCTGTAAAATAGGGACAAGAGGGTTGTTAGTATTGAACGACAGAATGCACGTTTGTGACGGTGCCCGCACATAAAGGCCCTTTTTAAGTATTACACATTCCTGATACTTTTCTGTGTATTGTCTGATTTGACAGTTCCACCAAGTTGTAATAAAGATCATGCGTGAGAATGGATGTAAAAGCCGTAAATAAATGTAAGCGGATGTACAGGTGTGGTGAGGTTTGTAACCCTGATGATGAGCAGTCACTTTTCTTTGCACAGCAGATGTTTAGGTACCAAGTCACCGCCTTAGTCACTTTTTATTGTTATAGGGGGAAAAATCTATTATGTATACATTTTATAATAATTGTCTTAAAATCAAATAATTTCCCTTTTAAATTTGCTCTACGAGTAGCTTCCATTTAGCTCCTGTGATACTAAAATTTAAGTGAGTGCCAGCACCGTGTTCTGTGGATTACAACGGAGCTCATGTATCACGCTGAGGCAGCTGCAAAGTTTAAGGCTGGCTCACTACTGGTTAATGCAGCTACAAAGGAAGGAAAGTGTTTTCAATTATTAAATGAGGATGGTATTTTTAGATATCTCCAAAATCCCAAATTGGTACACCTACTCTTGACCTCTCTCCAGAGTCCTGTATTCCCAGCTGCTTTTTGGATATTTCCACTTGGATATTTTTGCTATTGTCTCAGACTCAGCATATGTAAAACTAAGTTTATGATCTTGCTTCTGGAGTTGATGCTTCCTCTGATTCTCTTTTCTCTTTTATTTATTTTTATTTTTTTCATTTTAAATTTATTTATTTATTTTTGGCTGCGTTGGGTCTTCGTTGCTGCGCGCAGGCTTTCTCTAGTTGCCGCGAGCGGGGGCTACCCTTCGTTGTGGTGCGCGGGCTTCTCATTGCGGTGGCTCCTCTTGTTGTGGAGCACGGGCTCTAGGTGTGCGGGCTTCAGTAGTTGTGGCACAGAGGCTCAGTAGTTGTGGCTCGCGGGCTCTAGAGCGCAGGCTCAGTAGTTGTGGTGCACGGGTTTATTTGCAGCGCGGCATGTGGGATCTTCACAGACCAGGGCTCGAACCCGTGTCCCCTGCATTGGCAGGCAGATTCTTAACCACTGCGCCACCAGGGAAGCCCCTTGATCATTTATTGCTTAGTGTTGTTTCCAGTTTCTGAATTGCTGAACTTTACCTTTCTGTCTAGATTATTTGTAGACTACCGGCTCCTTGTGGGTAAGGATTATTTCTAAATCCTTGAATTCCCCACAACCATACTCATGTAGAAAGTGAACGTGCAATCATTATGATACTATTATTTGATGAAAATATTTTTCTAAATGATAGGACCTGTCAAAAACTTCAAGGTAAAATTGCTATGGAGTATATTAATACTCGCGAGTACACCTTTTGGAAGGCTGACGTTGCTGGGCGCTGTGGCATCGTCGGGCTCACGCTGAAGCTGCCTGTTCAGGAGGCTCCTCAAAGCCATGATGGGCGGCGGGTGGCCCCGAGGCCTCATTCTCCGGGGGCCTGGCTGGTGTCGGGCCAGAGCTGCCAGGTTCTGTGACTATGGCTCTACGCCAGCTTCCTGCTCAGATGCCCGTCCTTGCCTGGTGTTCTTCCCGGGCGATGGCCTGGCCGCCAGAGAGAAACTCAGAGACCGTCCCATCGCCCAGCTGCCCTGTCTGTCTCCCCCGAAGGGAGCAGCTGGGTGCCCAGGAAGGCTTTCTGGGGTGGGGCGCGGGGTCGTGGGAAGGCGGAGGAAACAGGGCTTCCTGGCGTTCGGGACCTGTAAGGGTGGTTCTGCGAGAACCGCAGCTGTAGCGGCCCCTCGGCAGCCTCCGCGGCCCAGCAGGAAGGAGAGGCCAGAGGCGGCGGGAGGCGGAGGGCCGGCGCGCGGTGGGCGCGTCCTGCTTGGCAGCCGGCGAGCCGGGCAGCTTTGGGCGAAGGATTTTATACTCCCAGGCGTCGGGGCCTAGCGGTGCCCGGAAGCAGCTGTTATCGTGAGCGCTTGAATGTGAGCGGATCCGCCGGAATGGGCTTTTCGGAGCCTTGTAGCTCGCTCTCTTGTGTTCCAGCGTGCACGTGGGAATACTTTCCGCAGACTGCCTGGACTCAGAAGACGTCTCTCCTTGATCGCTTGGTAGAGTCGCTTTTTAGAATATTCTCGGAACCGTATCTTCTGTAGAGGAAAATTCTCTCTCTTTCTCGTTCCAGATTACCTGCCAAGGTCGAATAAATCATCTTTTCAGCTAAAGGGTTATTGTTATTTTTAGAAGGAATCTTAACTTTTAAGACATGAATGATTATTAGATAAACTGTGTTTCTTTTATAAAAACCTTGTAAGAAATTGTTTCCCCTTAATCTTTGTAGAAAATGTGCCAGAGGAGCTTCGAGAGCCATTTTACACAGATCAGTATGACCAGGAACACATCAAGCCGCCTGTTGTTAATTTGCTTCTCTCGGCTGAACTGTACTGTCGCGCTGGGAGCCTCATTCTCAAGAGCGACGCTGCCAAGCCCCTTTTGGGCCATGATGCTGTCATCCAGGCTTTAGCGCAGAAAGGTCTTTATGTCACTGACCAAGAAAAATTGGTAACAGAACGAGATCTCCACAAGAAACCCATACAGATGGTGAGTCTTTATACACCCAAGATTATTTTGTTTCAAGTGTGTACGTTTGTGAATTGTATTATAATACAGAGGGACATAGGTTTTACAATTGCATTGTCATCTCTGCCTAGAGTTTAAAAAAATACCTTTTTTCTTACAAGCCTCATTTTTAGATTAAGGAAGATTTTTTAAAATTGAAGTGTAGTTGATTTACAGTGTTGTGTTTCAGGTGTGCAGCAAAGTGAACAAATTAAGGAAGATTTTAATAAACTATTTTGGAATGTTTGGAATGTTATAATGCCTGGGAGAAACAATTACATAATTTCCAACTAAAGTAAAGTGATTTCTTTTTTGATTTAAAAACTGTTTTCCATCCTAGAGACTAGAAGAGATGTAAAGTGCCTCCTTTTATTCTCATTAGGAAAGAGCTGGGATTTGTAAGTGTTCATTTACATGCTTGAATGACCTCTTGGTAAATGTCTGTATATCAGATACTTTAGTTTATTTAACAACTTGAATTCATTCTTGTGGAAAATACACAGTGAAGGGCTCTGCACTGGCTTGGGACTAGCAGGCAGGCCTCTCTCATGATAGTCTGTGGAGACACACAGATGCTCAGGTTCACCGTATGCCGCTTCGATCTGCGGTACCGCTTTAGCTCAGGTTTACAAAACCCTGGGCATCGTCGAGAATGGCATTAGAACAGCGGATTCGCACACTTAATTAAATCATGCTCTTGTATGAGACATTCCTTACTTCGGAGGAAGGAGAGAGATATACAAGAAGAAGATATGAAATTTTGAAAATTGAGGAATTTCAAAGAATGAACGAAAATTAGTTAACCAAATATAGTGCTGAAAGAGATGATTGATCCGCTTTTGCTTTCTGCCTATTTTCCTTCTTAAAAAAACACTGTTACTTTCAAGAAATGGAGAACAATTTCTCAAGAAACATTTAGTGAATTTAGTAATAGATTTATAATAGAATTATTAAGGAAAACTAAGAGTGGTTATTATCAGATGTGAGATTTTCACCTCTTACTGACAGCTTCAGGTCCACCTTGCGGGTTCCCCCGATCGTTGTGCGCCTGCCTCTGTGCTCAGGTGTCCCCACGGGCGCTCACCGCCACCTCTCTGCAGTCACTGCGCTAGTGGGATGCTTCTGCTCTGATTATTTTTGCTTCCATCGTTCAGGCCAAATGGATGGTTATAAAGCACGTCCGCGACGTTGAATCTGTGTCTGTGTTTGCTCAGTACCCGTTCTTTCAGGTACCAAAGTTACACGTCACATGACCTGGTCCTTCTAGCATTAGAGGAGGTTATCTATTTTAGATCCTCTTTAATAAGAGTGAAACAAACCTACCACATTTTCCTCATTATTTTTCCTAGTGCAGCTCGTGTGCGTGAAGATACAGGTTTGGTAGACGACTAATCGCATTCCTGTCAGGTTTCTTTCACTCCGTATCGATCCTGCTATTAAATCTGACTCCAGTAGATGAGATTTAAGGAACGTGATGTAAATGATGCGGCCTCTGGTCCTCTGGGTCTGGCTTCTGTCTGTGGGCATCAGGCACTCATGCTTGACTACATCACCTTCACCCTAGCAGTGTCACACCTACTGATCTGTGTTTTAATTGTATACGTTCAGTTTTTCTTACAGTTTGATTTAAAGTTTTCCAGTTGCTGTGAAATTTTGACTGATGATGCCGTACTATAACTATTTTTCTAAGACCCATACGAGAAAATTTCTCCGAGTCCTAGTAAAAGCTTTGTTTCCTGAGAAACTGTTTGGTCTGGTTTTAGGGTAGTAAGAATCAGCTTCCTGCCTTGTCCTGCTTTTTGAGAAGTATAATGCAAACTGGTATGTTTAACTGACCCCTACCACACTTCCCACCTCTAAATTATCTTGGTGTGTTTGAGATCTTTTATTTCTGTACGCTGCCTCACAGCCTTTTGGGGGAAAGAAATGTGTGCTGGTAGCAGAGATAGCATTCTAAGGCAAGTTTGACTAACCAGATTTTATTAACTTGGGGGGGGTGGGGATTGAAAGCAATGCCTTTCTTTAAAAATGACAACACCCGTTGCTTTCTACCACAGTGCTTTTAAAGACAGAGTTTGAGAGTGTAGCCTTTAAAATGTTTTCTTCTGTATTTATATCCATGGGCAAGTGTTTTCGGGCATTATGTTTCAAAGCCAGTTAATAGTTATGATGTATTAAGGTTTATTCATAACTATTAACTGAATTGTCTGTCAGGTTGCTAGAAGGGGTTGTAGAGCCGTGGTCTGCCTGATGGCTGTCACGCATATGTGAGTAAAGGACAGATCGTGAACCAGGCACAGTTGCAGGGCTGGAAGCACAGGCTCTGAGAGCTGACGCTAACACGTGAGTCAGCGTTAAACGTACGGCGAATTGTGTGCATTAAAACCACAGGGGAGCGCCTTCAACCAGAAGTGTGTTCTGACCCAAATCAGGTTTGCTGTCAGATTATTTGTCAGCACAAATACTGGTATGTAGGTTGCCTTGAAAATTGAGGGACTTGTACAGCAAATGGAGCCAGATGTTAAGAATGATAGCTTTTGAACTTTCCCGCACAGCAAAATGAACTTGCATGTGGATTGTGTTCGATATCATCAGGTTGGGCTGGGGGATTTGATCCATGTCATAAAATCTTAAATTCATAGAACTTTAGAGCCATCAAGAGCATTAGAGATCAGAAACCAGTGTGTAGTAGAAAACTTCCCAATCAGGAGGAGCCTGGGGAACACGAGTCCGTGGGAACTTTGAACACAGACGCCCTGGCCCCCAAGGCAGAGCTGCTAGCATAGAGCCTTTAGAAGAGGGGGTCAGTACCTGTATTTTCAAAGAAGTGTTCAAGGTGATTTGTATGATAAGAATGGGATCTGGGAAATTTGATCTAATCCAGAGTCATTTCAGATATGTAAAACTTAGAATTTAGAGAGGTTAAGTGATTTGCCTAGGGTTGCACCGTTATTTAGTAGCAAAAGTAGAATTGGAATCTGAATGAGCTAAAACTGTGGCTTTCTAATTTAGACTGCTGTAATTTGAAGCGAATTTGAGCACTTAAATATTTGGACTCATGCTATCTAAACCGTAGACTGCTTATGAATCAAACTCTTGGTTGTAAATCAGCTTTCCAGCCATGTTTGTATATGTAGGAAATAAGAGTTGATATTTATAAAACTCCATAAAGTAAATGTATATAGTATGTGTGATATGAAACAAGGAGATTGATCTTCATATTTGATTTATAAAATAACGGTTATTATTTAATCAGATCTTGTTTTGGAACAATCATCCTCATATAACAAAACTTTTATTTTGAAGTGCTTTCTTTTAATGAGTAGCAAAAAGATTTAATACTCTGCTTAATTAATGGAAATTAAAGTGGGCTGATAAATCATTTGATAAGTAAGGCATAAAATGGTCTCTCAGTGAACTGTCAGGATTGTTATAAGGGATGTTTTTGGATATTCAGAAAACATAAGCTAAAAAGTTAGTACGTATCCCTGCTACTGTCCATTACACTGCTTTGTAGTAGTGGCAGGCCAGTGAAGCTGTGTTTAGAACACAGAAAGATGATGGAAATATTTGTTTACCTTCAAGAAGGACATTCCTGTAGGTAAAGAAGTGTTACTTTATTTTATTGCGTTTTGTGGTCTGTGCATTCACCTGACCACTGACACCTCCACTTGAATGATGTGGAACTTAGAATCCAGTGAGGAGGAAGATTGCAAAAAATGCTAATTAGCATGAAACAAGCGCTCTAAGTATGAGTTTAAGCAATAGGCATTGGGAACGTACAGATGGGCGTGATGATTTCTGCCGGGGAGGATGAGGAAAGGCTTCAGAGGATGAATGATTAATGAGCTTTCAGTGGTTGGGAAAAGGGGTGGGTGACAGAGGTGACTGGCCTGAAGGAATTCTTGACCCAAGTTTGAACTGAAAGCATATATGTCACTAATTACAGTGTTGCCTGTGTGGAGGCATAAATGTGAGATGAGGCTAAAAGATAGGGTGGGCTTCCTAGGTGGTGAGGAGGCTCTGAGCCGAAGTTGAGGGTCTGTAGCTTTTTTTTGTGGTTACAGGATCATGGAATAAGTTTTCATACTGTTTTTCTGGGGTTTTTGTCGGTGGTGGTGGTGGTGGTAGTGGTGGTTTGTTGACATGTTTTTTCCAGCCTGCGTCAAGCAAACAAAACGTGGCAAAACACAGTGAAGCACTTTGTGTGCCGATTTGCTTATATCCATCTGTATACGTGTTCACGTACCATCCCACCCGGAAGCCCTTTTGGTGTGGCTTACTCTGTGCCAGGCAGTGTGCCTCCACGTTTCATCCCCCGTCTCACATAAGTTAAATCTTACAGCAATCCTTAGAGGAGAGTGTGTGGTCCCCGCTGCAGGGATGAGGAGGCTGAGGCTTTGAGAACGCGGCCCCGGCCTCGGAGCCAGCGCAGGGAGGGGGCGGAGGCTGGGTTCAGGCAGGCCAGCTCTGCTGCGGCTGGCTGTAGTTTCGTCTTCGCCTGGGTACGGGAAGTCCTGGGAGGTGGGCCGATGGGAGCGGGTGAGAGGAGAGAGGGGCTGTAGGCGGGAGGGAGCAGGGCCTGCGCAGCCCTCTGCCCTGGCTTCTGCTCCTGCTGTAGCCTAGTGTGAAGGGCTGAGGACGGAGGGCAGCTGAAGCAGCTGTGATCAGGTCTTCCTGGGGGGTGGTTTAAGACTGTGCGTGGCAGGGCTTCCCTGGTGGCGCAGTGGTTGAGAGTCCGCCTGCCGATGCAGGGGACGCGGGTTCGTGCCCCGGTCCGGGAAGATCCCGCATGCCGCGGAGCGGCTGGGCCTGTGAGCCATGGCTGCTGGGCCTGCGAGTCGGAGCCTGTCCGCAACGGGAGAGGCCACAACAGTGAGAGGCCCGCGTACCGCAAAAAAAAAAAAAAAAAAAAAAAAAAAAAACAAAAAAAAAAAAAAAAAAAGACTGTGCATGGTGATCCCCCGGTTACCACCGATTCT